TTTGCAATTATGACTGGGTTTTTCGCCAGCTTTCCGGCAACAAATTTAGAGCGAGCGTAAAATTTGCAATTAAATGCCAGGCAAGAGCCACGCCCACTAATGCTGGGAGTCTCTGTGTTTGTATGTATGTGTGTTTTTCTCACAAATGAGGTCAGTTCCCCTTTTCCGTTCGCTTCTGGCTGCTGGCGATCGTTTTTCTCTTTTTTTTTTCTGCTTTTCCCTACCGTTTTTCCCCATTTTATTGTGTTTTTTGTACTTTTTTGCTTGTTGTGACATTTTTTGGTGCATTAAGGCAACAAAAAAACTGGCAGAAGGATGTAACAACAATGGGCAGTCAGGTGGAGGTCCGCTCTCGCCCTCCCCTCTCTCCCTTGCCATCACAAATTGCGTATACGCCGCGCTGGTCACGATGCAATAATGCCCGACGTTGGCATTAAAAACAAAACTGGAAATGAATACAAAACAAGGATGGAAGGGGAGAGAACTAAGGACTATTCATACCCTTTAATTTAGGGGCAACAAAATAAATTAAATAACTTGAAAATATAACTAAATGTCTAATGAAAACATTAAGATATTCGAAAATATGGGTATAGATTATTTAAATAAATTTTTTTCTTCTGTTAAACAATTTTAGGACTAGTAAAACCCTTTGGAAAGAGTTAGTTTTGGGACAAAAAATTAAATAACTTAAAAATATAACTTAGTGTCCTATGAAATCCGTAAAATATACATTTATTTTATATATAAATTTTTGAAAACAAATATTTAACTCCTGTTACAAATTTCGGGACAGTAAAGCTCTCAGAAGAAATGTTGTTCTTAATGTGTCACACTAGTCGTATACGCAATGCCCACCCTGCAGCCATCGAGCAGTTATAAAAACGCAGTAAGGACCAAAAAAGAAAAAAAAGGACGAAGAAAGAACAGCAGCAGCGAACAAACAGCGACAAGAAAATGACAGAAGGTTTCGATTAAACAACAGCCGGACGAGGGGCAGGGTGTATGTGTGTGTGTGTGAACAGGGTAATATAGCTTGTTGTGCGAGCCGATCAAGGGGTGTGGAAGGAAGCTGCCGGCTGCCGGCTGCTGGCTGCTGCCATGTGTGTGTCCTGCAGCTGAGGGCGTGGCTGCAGTGCAGTGACACTGCGCCCATTCCGTTGACCCGCATCAAGGACAAGGAGGGGCACGGAGGCACTTGGCGAGTGCAAAAAGGATTCGCTGTTGCCGGGGCCAGGACCAAATGATAAATGACAAAGGACATACACATACGCAGGACATCTCTGCTTGGTCCTGCTGGTTTTTTCGGATCCCCCAGCTGCTCCTGCCTGTCGCTCAGCCTGTTAAGTAATGTGTGTGGGCGGTAATGTACATACATCAGCTGTTCAGGGGCTTCGAGGGGCTTTGACTAATTGGTTTGAGTTCGAGGCTAAGCGAGATATAATACGGAATAGGATATGTTATTCAAATCGGTGGAGGCAGGAAGCAGATGCTGTAAAGTCTTGAATCTTGTATATATTTTGTATATATTTTCTATAAATTTTCTATATATTTTCTATACATTTTCTATATATTTTCTATATATTTTAGATACATTTTGTACATTTTTTGCAATTTTATTACAATATATACAACTTTACATTCCAAAGAAAAGCATTGCCCAGCTCTTTGACTACTTTCCATTTAATTGATTTCATTTTTCTTTCATAACTTCCATTTAATTTGTTCAATTTTATCATTTTGCCATGTTTTTGCTTTCACTTCAGTAGCTTTTGTAGCTCTTAAGAGTCCTTTCATTTACATTTCTTGTTCAATATTATTTTTTTGTCGCTTAAGTAGAGCTTTTCTTGTTTCTTCATTATTTTAGAGTTATCTTCAGTTGTTCCCTGGCTTTATTATTTTATTTAAATTTTGTTATGTCTTGGCCATGCTTTCTTAAATCCTCAATTTGCCACATTCTTGCAGCTGATTGGTCAGAACAAACACACGATTGTTGGAATTATGTTGACTTGTCTAAGGCTATTTCCAAAGGTACGTCACATATGTAGCTGAAAATGTTGATTTACAGTTGAAGTGGCTCAAATCTTCTTTACAATAATTTAAATAAAATATCTAGTGATCTGAAATCTACTTTAAACAGAGCTCAACAAATTATTAGGAATAAAATAAAATATTTAAATATTACCCTCCTGCTGACCTCTTTTTACAGCGATTTCAAAACTCTTGTAAAAAATAAAAACACAGATATTTGAATACACCCTTAGAGACACATCCCTGTGTATGTCCGTTCTCAAGTTTCCACTCGAGCGAGCCATTTTAATTAGGCAAATCAACACGAGGCAGAAGTTGAAACTGAGATTTCCATTGAAATGGCGACCGTTTGACGGAAGTGGACACTCGGCTGGACATCTTGGCATGTCGGCAGCCGGATGTTGGCTTTAAGGACGCCACTTAAAGTCGCAAGAGTGGGTGGAGGGTGGAGAGTGGCATGCATACATGCACTTTGTGTGCCATAAATACACCCGTACGTACACTCGAAATAGCCCGCATCCGGCTTGTTCAATTTGCGGCAACATGAAAAAGGCAAGGCACCAGCAACTCGACCCTTTCCGGTTCCGGTTCCAGTTTCAGTCCGAGTCCGAGTCCGAGTCTAGTTCCTCTTCCTGCTCCTGCCACTCGCTTAATTTGATTTCTGGCCGGAGGGAACGTGGTCGGCGATGAAATTAGCACCGCCTCCGCCTCCGCCTCCACTTTGCATAATAACCCGGACAGGACAGGACAGAGAGAGGACCCCGACTCGACTGGACCGTGAGCAATTCAATTAAATCGCTCCGCTCGTCGTTTTAAAACCAAATAAAAATCCAAATAAAAATCAAAATTAAATTCATGCCGGACAGAGTTTCGGGGACGCGCATTCCAATTGGCATTTCAATTTGATTTGCCGGCCGGCCATCGCCGCGAGCGGTGTTTTTAATGTGCAAATCGTTTGAATTGTTCGAATCAATTAAATTTCTGGCCACGCATCGGCTTTAGCGAGCTATTTTGATTTATTTAATATTGCTCTTGTCGCATTCGGGTTTCGTGTCTGTGCGCTTCCCGGAATTAATAAAAGTTAATTGAATCGAAAAGCCCGAACTGATCGGAGGAGCGTCGAGATGAAGTTAATTCCCGGCCAGCCATTAGGGGGGCGATATATAGGACACACATCCATATGTGGGAGTGGGAGTGGGAGGGAGGTGTAACATATTAAATTCAATTATGCTCCCAGTGACCACTGGCCCGTAAATTTATCGAAATTCTCGGCTGGCCATCAATCAATCATTTAGTCAATCACTCAGAGCGGCGTGCCAAAAACCAATCTGTCGCACTAATTTCATCAATTTAAGCGCAGTTAAAATGCATTTATGTTTTTGTTGCCCAGTCAACGATCGGATTCACTCTGAAAAAAATAAAGGTTTTTATTTAAATAAATAATAACTCTGTTGCTGTTTTTTTTTGTCATTAAATTTAAACAAGTTTAAAGGCTCTAGGATATTTTATTTAACTTATTTCTTAGGGCTACTTTTTGAGGTACTTAAGCTTCGTTGCCAAATCTGTCAATGGTTATCCTGTTTTTTGATTAATGATCCTGTGTCCCAGCTTTGAGCTGCCTGGCACCGTTCCGGGGCAGGGCCACCATTAGCTTTTGGGCCCGTCCAAATGTCAATTTCATTTTGGGCCGCCCTGCGGCTTGAATAAATTGTATCCAGTTCGTCGATTGCACTGATTGCAGCCTGGCTTTGGTTTTGCCGCTGTTTTTGGGGGGTGGGGGAAACGAAAAGGACACTTGACGGGTGGGGGGAACAGAAAGGGAATTTTGGGGGCTCAACAAATTGCATAATGCCCACCGAAATGTAAAATTATGGCAATAGTCAGCACCCCATAACGAACCACAGCCGACAGGGGGTTCTGCTCCTCCTACTCCTGCTCTTGCTCCTGCTCCTCCTTCTGCTCCTCCTGTGTGCGGGTTAATTTGATTTTAATTATGAACGAGAACGCGACCAGCAGCAGCAGCAGAAGCAGGCTCGTTTGCCTGTTTGCGGTTAATCAACTGTCCATGGCATAAATATTTTGATTGCCGCAAATGCGCCCAGGCCATTGCCTTTGACAGGACCAACGGCACCGCATACCAACCACACTGAGAGAGCCTCGGGCTGGGCTCTGCGAGTACTTTGGCCCCCGAAAATGAGGCCCCGCCATCGTTGCCGCAGAAAATGACAATTAAAAATAATTTGAAATGCAGACGGGCGACATAGATGGGAGCTCCAGCTCCACCTCGAGAGCAGCAGCAGCAGCAGCGCATTTCATTAAAATTTCAAGTCGACTCAACTTTCGAGCACACACAGGAGGACACAGCACTTGACAACAAGAGCCGCCACCAGCAGCAGCAGATCCCAGGTCCTGGTCCTCCACTTCTATCCTAGCCAGAGCACACTCAAAGTCCGCTCGGAAGCGCCATTTAAAATTAGTGAAAAGTTAAAGCCCGAACGGAACGAGAAGACAACATGAGCTGGCCCGCAATTAAGTGGAAGCGAAGCCGAGGAGAGTAGAGTCCTGTGAGCGAGGAGCAGCCTGAAGGATACCCTGGAAGCTGATGTATATTCCCCCTTAAAACACGGAATAGAAACACAAGTCCTTACCGAGGATACATACCCATCGAAACGTAGTCTTGGCATCTGCAGGGTAGCATTCCCCGGCTGGTGGCCAGCTGTAGGTGCTGTCTAGGTGTGGGCGATGGCGATGGCGATTGTAGCCATCGCTTGGCCCCGGCTGAAATTCAAAACGTCCAGCCAAGTGCTGTGTTGCCATTCCAGTAGGAGCTCCTTTCCCTGGATCCTTTCGCTCCCTTGGTCCCTCCCGCATTGCAGTCATAGTTTTGGGGGAGGAGTCGTCGAAGATACAAAATGAAAAATTCCAGGAAAAACCCCAACCAAAAAAGAGACCCAGGAAAAGGCGTTCGATTGACTTTGCTTTCGTGTGTGTATTTCTCGTTTTGTTTCGGTTGCAATCTTTCTTAATATTGAATTTCATTTACCATTTATCGTTTTTTATCGATTTTCTTGATCGGGTTATGCCCCGCTCTAGTTGCCAGCTATCGCTAATCGTTAATTGTTAATCGTTAATCGCGTGCCTCTGCCTTTGAGCGTTCCATTGCCATTCGTATCGTTTTGTTTCGCTTCATTTCGTTTGGCCTTTTTGGTTTCTATTTATTTTTATTTTTCTTTTTCCATTTTGTTTTCTTTTTCACACACACACATATTCAGTTTAAGTTAAGTTTTTCTCATTTTCGTTTAATAATAACTTAAGGTTAAATAACAATCACATTTACTTATTTTTCTTTTGTTTTCTTTCGACCCAAAAAAAAGTTTTTCACGCTCTTCCTAACCTTTATATTTGATTTACGAGTAGTGTAAGTTCTTTATCCATTATTTTCTTTATAGTTTAATTAATATTCTTAATATTCCTTTCCCATTGGCATCTCATCCCTCTCTCCGTGGGGCTAAAATTGTCAATAAAACAATTGGAACAAACGTGAACGAAAACAACAAAAACAGTGGTCAATCGTTCCACCTTTAAACGCGTGCCGCCCGTCTATCGAAGTTATCGGAATTAATCGAAGAAATCGGGGCGCTGGATAATTCCTACTACTTACAACTTACGCGCCACTTGCAGTGCGCGGGTCTGACTTTATTTTTGTATTTATTAATGCTAAGAGAGTTAAGTTTTTTCTATGCTTTATCAATTGGTGTGTATATACCATATATACCTATATATATAGGGGTATACATATATATATATAGATGTATATGTGTATGTATTTGTATTTTAATGTGGGGCAAATATACGGAAATATTTTCTTTTCGTTTTTAGCATTTTTCTAATCGCTTAGGTCTATCGTTAGCCCGGGAGCTCGAGTCCTCGCACACAAGAAAAAATATATGTATAATATATATTGACTAGAACTATTACTATTCCTTTGGGTTTTACGGTTTAAAAGGTATATATATTCTGCTGTAATCACCATATTGGCATTGTATAAATTGTTCGTTTCTTGTAAATTGTGTTTCTCTGTTTTGTTTTTTTTTGTTTTTTTGGCTTGCTACAAAAGTTCGGCACATTTGATTTTGTCAAGTTGTGAATTGTGTGTGTCTGTGTTTGTAATATTTGCGAATTATTATTATTATAATTTTATTTATTATTATTTTGAGTGTACTAATCCATGTCCGGGCTTAACTTGAATCCCTTACCCAGGGAAAAGTACAGTTCTTCCAGGAAATCTAATGATTTTTGAATGTATTTTTCACTTGATGAACAACTGGAAATTGGCCATATTCAATTCAACGTTTTGAAACCCACGTATGCTGTGCCAATTAACCTTCCGGACACAGGACATAGGACACACTCTTGGCTGTAATTTAATGTCCATGCAATGTCTGCTCCTTGTGGATGTTTTCTCTTATTTTTTGGCTTTTGTGTGTAAATAATTAGCCTAATTAAATACGCTTCATTACATATAACTGTTTGTGGTTTGCTGGTATTAATTGTATTCCTCCTTACTTTGACTCGTTACTTTTTCGCTTTACTTTAACTCGTTACTTTTTCGCTTTACTTATTACTGCTATTCATTTTCCTTGGCTACTTGCCACTTCTTTGCTCGACTCGTTACTGTTACTATTACTCGTTACTGTTAATGGTAGTTATAGACATTGAAGTACTCGTTAGATGGTGGATGCAGGTGGGGAGAGGCTGCCAGCCGCAAATAGACAATAAACAATTAATTATGACTCGCATTAATCGCTCTTTAATTACTATTATTATATTATTTTTATCTCGATATATTTGGAAAATCAACAAACAGTAAGTGGAAAAAGTTTCTGCTCAGTGTGTGTGTGTGTGTTTTTAAGAACTCTTTTCCTTCGACCTCTCTGAGGTCCCCTATAAGAAAAAAAAAAACGCCGCTAATCGCTCACCTTTTCACTTGGCCGCCTTTCTTAACTGCCATTCACATCGACCATGGAGTGCATCCCGTTGCTCAGCCCATTGCCATTGCCGTAGATCCCGCTCTGCGACGGCGGCGGCGAAGCTGGCGGGGATGCTGGTGGCGTCAAGGTGGCCGGCTCCTCGGCCTCCACCTTCCCGTTGCTGATAAGGGGCTTTTCCTCCTCCGCTGCTGGCTTGGTGGTGGTGGTGATGAGCTGCTCCTGCGAAGGTGGCGGCGGCGGCGGGGGCAGGCTGTCCAGCTGATTGGACTCCAGGAGCGCGTAGTCGCCGAGCTCCGAGTTGATCTCGTCCGTGGATGGTGGCGCAGGCAGGCTCATCAGGCTGTCGTAGTTGGCCTCAGGTTCGATGTCGGACTCCGGCTTTGGCTCTGGCTCTGGCTCTGGCTGCTCCTTGGTGGGCTCATTCCTTGCCACCTTGAGTTGCGGCTGCGTGTCTGTATATTCTGGGAGGTCAAGTGACTTTTCCGGCTGCTCTGCTGGTGGAATCTCTGCGTTACTTTCGCCTGCAGACTGCTTTTCTGGCGGATTCTCTTCGTGCTCGGGTGACTGCTCCATCTCCTGGTCTTGCTCGGGCCTTGGGCTGGCTAGGATGGGCTGAGCTGTGGGCGAACTGGTGGCATAGCCGGGCTGCTCGATGACATAGAGCTCCTGGTTGCCGTAGGAGTAGCGCTTGTTGGAATCACCCGACGAGGTTGAACTTAGGTCCGACTGCGAGAGGCCAGTGCAGGCACGAATCTCGGCTGCCGGAGGTCCTGCCTGCTCCTCAATGACCTGCTCCTCGGCCTCCTCGATGAGATGCAGCGGGGCAGCGGCATGGCCGCCGGCAAAGTCCTGGGGAGGAGCATGGATCTGCACCTGTTCATGGCTCGGCGGCAGCGAGTGCTCGGCCAGGAGATGCACCCCATTGCCGGTCATTTTGGTGTCAAAGGGCAGCTCGGTGGCATCCAGTCCGGTGACATTTGGCTCAGCGGGCTGCTTGGAGCCGGAGTCAATGCCGCGGGCCACCTCCACAACGAAGACGCCGTCCTTGTCCGTGTGCATCTTGGTCTCCCGGGCGTTGCGCGAGATGTCCTGCGGGGACGAGAGGAGCACATATTGAGAGGGAGAGATAGAAATGGAGATGGGGGAGCAGGGGTGCGGGTGAGCAAGTGAGAACACACACAGATAATTGGCTACGACAACAACATCAAGGAAACAAGGATACAAGAATACAAGAGAGAGGTGGTTAAAGGAGGAGGCGATAGAGCAGACAAGTGTCGAAATTTGCATACACGCCAGAGGCTCTCACTCACACAGGCAAAGGAAACACACTCCCGGCACTGGAGGAGTCTCCTCCTTATTACCCAAATAACCAAAAAGGACATTAACTAAAAATCAGGCTGTGTTCAACTTTCAAGACAGTGCTCAAGGCTTAGGGCTAAGGCTTACATCTATGGCAGGTTTTAGTGGCTAACACAAACAACATTTTCCGAATGCAATTTCCCAAGCAGTACCGCAGGCAGAGAAGATGATGCAGAGGCACACAGAGACAGGACAGAGACAGAGAGGAAGCCAGGCTGAGATTAGGTTTTGAGAGGCAGGAACAGGCACCAAACTACGACAACAACCAGGCGACATCCTGACGAGCGAAGCGACACAGACAAGCGACAAGGACACACATCCAAGGACCTCGGACCTCGGCCCGATCGGATGACTAACGAACTTACGTGGCGCTCCTCGGTGACAACAATCAGATGATTATCTTTGAGCGTCATCTTGGTGACGGACCCTCTGGGAGCCACCACCTCGCCACCACCACCACCATCCCCATCCCCATCCCCATCCCCATCCCCATTCCCATCCCCCCCGTCGAATCGAAACTGGAGGCACTCCAGAAAGCGGCCTTGACTGCCGAGGGGAGCAGCTCGGGTGGGAGGGTGGTCCTCTGGCTGTGGATGCCTCCGCGGACAGCCCGTCGAGGTGGCGGTAATGGTGGTGCTGGTGGTGGCGCTGGCGGAGGCGAATGCAGCGCCAGATGACGATGAGAACGGGGAGGAGGAGGAGGCAGAAGAGGCGGCAGAGGACTGCAAGAGACGGGCGGCAGAGAGCCGGGTGTTCAGTATTCTAAAAAAAGGAATGCAACCCACACACGCACACCCGCACACACATCCAGGCACAACACACACACACTGGGGCACAGAAATTTCATTACCGGCAAAAGGGAATTCATTTAAATGTCAACTCAACTTGGCATTCAAAAGGCGTTCGCCGGGCTGTGCACTCTGACTAAGAAGCCCCATATTTCACATGTCTACGTAGCCCCAAGATCAGCCAGAACTTTAACTGAAAACTGGATTACCGTTTTTTTTTTTTTTAGATATTTTAAATTAATTAAATTAAGTTAAATTAGTCTGAAGCTCGCCAAGCAGTGAAGGACTCATTTTTGACACCATAAATCATATATATTCTTGATCAGTACTAAAAGCTAAGTGAATTTAGCCATTTCTGCAAGAAAATTAAAAATTTTAATTTTTTTTTGTAATTTTATGTTTAATTTTATTGTTTAAAGAGGTAAAGAAAAATCGAAAAATTTTAAATTGGTTAAATTTGTAATCTTTATATGCAGATTTATTAACCATAAAAAAACTAACTCAGAACAGCTTTCCAAATTGAATTTAATGCATTTTTGGCTTAGTTATTGAATTTTTAAGCCCAAAAATGATCATATAAAATTATGAATAAATATTTAAAATTAATACACCTTAAGGGGTATAATAATTTCAGTCCGAAGCCCAAAAATCAGTGAAGGACTCATTTCCGACCCTATAAATCATATATATTCTTGATCAGCATTAAAAGCAGAATCGATCTAGACATGTTTGCAAGAAAATTAAAAATTTTAATTTTTTTTTTTTTTTTTATGTTTAATTTTATTGTTTAAAGAGGTAAAGAAAAATCGAAAAATTTTAAATTGGTTAAATTTGTAATCTTTATATGCAGATTTATTAACCATAAAAAAACTAACTCAGAACAGCTTTCCAAATTGAATTTAATGCATTTTTGGCTTAGTTATTGAATTTTTAAGCCCAAAAATGATCATATAAAATTAGGAATAAATATTTAAAATTTAATACACCTTAAGGGGTATAATAATTTCAGCCCGAAGCCCAAAAATCAGTGAAGGACTCATTTCCGACCCTATAAATCATATATATTCTTGATCAGCATTAAAAACAGAATCGATCTAGACATGTTTGCAAGAAAATTAAAAATTTTAATTTTTTTTTTTAATTTTATGTTTAATTTTATTGTCTAAGGAGGTAAAGAAAAATCGAAAAATTTTAAATTGGTTAAATATTTATTCTTTATATGCAGATTTATTAACCTCGAAAAAAACTAACTCAGAACACCTTTCCGAAGTGAATTAAATGCATTTTAGGCTTACTTATAGATTTTTTAAAATTTTGATAGTCCCAAAAATGATTTTAAAAAATGTACCCTTGATTCAAAATTTTTAAATTGGCAAAGAATTGAATTAAACAAAAAAAAACTTAAATAATTCAATTTTTAATGACAGTTTTGACTTTTTAAAAACTCCTTAAAAGATGTTCTTTGAGAGCCAACAGATATATTTATATTTATATATGTACAATATATATTCAGATATACGTGAATATTCCCAGTTAGCTAATAATAAAATTGTTTAATTTAATCTTGAAAGCAGCAGCACAAAGTGCATTCACAAAGCTTGCTTTTAAATTTTCACAATTTTCACAATTTTCACAGTTTTCTTCTGGCGAAGCTCACGCATAGGGGGTGGGTGTTGGCGCATTGGTGGGAGGGTTAGCTCAGGTCAGGTGTTACAGGGGGGGTAGGGGGGTCTTGGGTGCTGGCTTTGGAGGGATGTTGTCCCATTCATCCTTTTCGAACAGCGAACTTACCTCATGCTTGGCAGAGTCCTGGCCCTGCTCGCTGTCGTCGCCTGGGGCGCCACCCGCGCCCGCCATCGAGTTCTTATTTAGCACATACCTGCAAGGGGAGAAGGACACTGGTAAAAAATTGTAGGAATTGAGGTAATATTTATAACATATATTAATTTAAATGTAAATAAATCTCAAATTTTAAATGTTTTAATTGAAAATTCGAAATTAAAAAAGATATTTCCTTTATCTTAAAGTAAAAAATCTTAGCTTATATTTGATGTCACATTTTCAAGTGTTTTTTAAACAAATATTTTGCATCACTTTTCCCACAGTGTAAACGAAAACACGAGGCTAAGACTGAGTCTGAGTCTGAGGCAAAGGCTGCGGCTGCTGTAGGTGCCAAAGTTGTTAAGCAGTCGAGCTGAGCTCCAGCGAGCTCGCTCTCGGGCTCAGAGTTTCAAAATCCAATGCATTTCTAATGATGCCGCGACTCAAATTAACATTTTGTTGCCTACTTTGCGGCTGACTGCAATTACCCAGACGATGCCCTCAGTTGGCAAAGTTACGGTTACGAGGACCCCACTGTGTCTGTGTGTGTGTGTGTAGCACGTCAAGTGAGCTCAATTCGATTGATTTTAACCTATACTTGAAGGTTTCGAGTTGAAAACGTAGGAATTAATCGAAAAAATGGTATAAAATTGTTTAAATATTAATTACCAAGAAGTTTATCTATTAATTTACTCAAAGAATATATTTATCCACATTAAATTGCTATTTTTTATTAATTTATTAATTATAAACATTTAATTTTCATTTTTCTGTACTATTATTTGAACCTATACTTATTTAGGGTGGAAAACTAAGAAATTTACCGAAGAAATTATTAAAAGTTGTATAAATATTGATTTATATAATTTATCTATTATTATCTATCTATTATTATTATATTAACATTAAATTTTGCATTAATATACTTTATTTATTATATTTTTTTTATAAATATATTAGATGAATATTTAACTTCCTTTCTCCCTATCATTAACTTGATGCCTTCGAGTTTAGATTAAATGTATGACTGTGGAATTCAAAGAAAAACATTACAAATGATTGTCTAGGAAATCGCCCGGCTTCATTATAATTTTTCTGCCGGAATGTCCTGGTTTCCCGTAAGAATAATGTTTGCCTTTCAAGTGTCCGCCCTCTCACCCCACCGACTATGGAAATTACAATGAATTTCGCTCCATAAATATTAAACATTTCCATGGGAAAAGTCGGTCGCCACTCGCGAGGGCGAGTGTATAGGCATTGTGGTTGCTAGGGCCTCGTCCTGCGAGCCTGCGTCCTGTGTCGTAACTCTCGTAATGCCATTGGCACTCAACAAATTTCGAGTTGGGAAGCCGCCGAAACGAGCCACACGCACAACTAATTTCTCGTCTCAAGAGTTTATTGTGCAATTTCCTCCCAGACACTCGCACACACGCGCCCAGTGTCCTGGCCAGCCAGAAAGGACGAAGAATAAGGCAAATAAATTGTGCGTTTCCCTTTTTATTTTGACTCTCTGTGCGGCGGTGGATGTGGTGGGTGGGTGTGGTGCTGCGAGGTGGCAACGTTTGCGGCTGCCATTTTCCGTTTTATGCGTTTTTCCTGCGGCCCAGGGATCACCTTCCCAAAACAGCGCCTGCCTTGTTAGCTGCCTGGCATCTACATCATCCGAGGATGTGGCTGTGAAAGGGCGAGGGAATGGGAATGTGACTTCCGTTTTCCAGCCGCCTTGATTTGTTGCGCCTTTGGTTTCCTTGGCAGACGTCGCGAGGTTGCCCTAAGACTTCACTTCAACCTGCTGGCAGATAGCACTCTGCTTTCATTTTGTTTGGCATTTGGTTTTGGTCCCCAGCTAGCATGTGAGTACACTGAGGGAATTAAGTACTGAAAATTACCCTTCAAAAACCAAAAGTAATTTTCGTATAATATTTTAAAACAACTTCAAGTTTGAAGGAGTTAAGAACCGTATTTATATACATTTTTACAACACAAAAATTAATTAATTAATTAAGTTCAAAAAAATCTAGGTAAAAGTACCTTTGAAAAGAATAAACTAATTTTTCTAATAATATTTTTTGTTAAAGGGAAAACCTTAAAGAGGATATTTCCGTCTTTAAATATTTGTTACCAACACAAAAAATAATATATAATATAAAATAATGTAGTATATATTTCTATTTTTAAATATATAAATATATATAGTATATATTATATATTATATATGTATAGATCTCTCTGTACATATACAATTGCTTGGCTGTAGCACCCGCAGCAGCTTTGCCCCATCAGCTTTCAGCGAAATTCGTTGGCGTGGCCAAGATTTATGTATGGGCCAGAGACTGCGGGCGATAAAGGCTGTGCGCTCTCACCCAAGGACTTGCTTCACTCCCCCCTCCTCTCCCCTTCCCCCATTCACTACGTCACAGATTTGTCAATGTTTTGTTGCTATTCCTGCCCCCGTCTGACTGTCTGTTTGTCGCCGGCAAATGCGAATGAGAAATAAAATGCCACGAATGAGGCTGATAAATGCGATTTGCCACGCCCTGCCAGCGACTGGGGAGGATGGAATGGGATGTGGGTGTGGGTGTGGCAGGAGTTGGAGGTCAGGTGGTGGCTTCGGCAAATTGCTTTAGATTGAGTGCATTCTGTGGAATGCCATGCGTGGGTGGGGTTGCCCGGAAAAGTAGGCAACAAATTTCGCCAAAAAAAAAAAAATCCTTGAAATCCTTTACCAGAGAAGGGTTGCGGCTGCCAGGGTGGTTTCTTCCCTGGCTTCTACTTAAAGGCGGCTCATCCTCCCCTTCCCTTTCTTCCCCCTCCACTCCTTTTGTTTGGCAGGCATCCTGGCTGCTGGCCTGGCAATTTCCCGCAATTATTTTTGATTTGTGTGGAACATGGCCGACGTCTAAGCTGATTAAGCGCCACACGAGGCGTAACCAATTAGCCAGGACGAAAGATTTCCAGGGAGGGAGGACTCCTAGCTTCTAATTAAGAGCCAGAGTTCGATAACTAACAGGGGGATAAGACACTCCTTGGGGAGGAAATGATGCCCAAAGGAGCTTTAAAGTTCGCAAGGTCCTTGCAATACATATGAGATTTTTGAGAAGGTTTCTACTCACTTGATGGCGCAGTACATAGACACCAGCAGAGCCGACGGCAAGATTACTATAACCAGGCCAATGGACACGGCAAACAGATTGAAGAAACCTGCAAGCAAGGAAATGTATCATCATCAAAGAGAACTCCTTGAGAACAGGATTTCCCGCCAACTCACCTTCATAATCAGCCAAAGGATCCTCCGACAGAGCTGTGGCATTGGAGGAGGATCTGCCACTAGCCAGTAAAGGAGCCATGGCCGAGGCAGAGCCTGATCCTGAACCCGAACCGGAACCGGATCCTGAGCCGGAGTCCAGCCTTTGGAGGAGCGTGGCATTCACCATTTCGGCCACCGGCAGCTGCTCCCGATGCAGATGACTGGCCGAGTGGCGGCTGGGCAGGCGACTCAGGCCAGAGCCGGATCCCTGCTGATGCTGCTGCTGCTGCTGTCGGTGGGCGGGGCTCTCGAAGGGATAGGAGCCCTCGACGCCATCGAAGCCCCCCGCCAGCGCCATCGTCTATCAGATCTCCGCCGTACTGAATGGAGCTCTCGATCACATCCGGCTCGCTGTCGATGCTGTTGCCCTGAATGTCGTTCTCGTAGACGCCCATGCCCAGTTCGCCGGGCATGTAGTCGATCTCCTTGAGCTCGATCTGTGGCGGCAGCTCACCGATTACGGGCACGCCAATGGCCAGGTCAGGAAGCACTGCGGGCTGGATAACTATGTCCTGCTGCTGCTGCTGCTGAGGCGGCGGCGACAACGTCGAGGAGCTGCTGCTCCAGCCCATCGCCGGCTGCTGCTCCACCTCGATGACCGACTCGCCCACGTAGGTGACATCCAGCGGCGGGGCGCCATCGTCCGAGCGATAGATCTTCAGCGAGTCGGAGCTGTGGTGCGGCGACAGGATGATGTCCTCCTCCTGGGCCGCCGGCGAGGATCTCGGCGACTGATCCATCACGTAGCTTGCGGGGAAGAACTGGTTCTCCAGCTGGAACTTGCGCTGCTGGTCAGGCAGGCTGGTGGGCAGGCTCTCGCCCACCTTGACTTCCGTGTTGGAGATGTAGAAGATGGTGTCTGAGTCGCGGTCGATGCTGGGCTTCCTGGGCAGCGGCGGCGGCGGCGGTGGTGGCGGTGGCCGCGGCACCGAGCCCACGCCCTCCTTGAGATCCTTTAGATCGGCCATGAACAGCTCGTCCGCATCCTGTACGGAGGACTGCTGCGGCGGACGCACCGCTGGCGGAGCACCAGCCGCCGCATCCGAGTTGCGGAAGGTGAAAATCGGATCGGAGGAACCGGATAAAGAGGAGGTAGATCCTCCTCCTCCTCCCGACTCCTGACTACTGTTGTCCGCCCCGCTGTCGATGATCTCCACCACCAAGATCTCGTCGCTCAGCTTGCTGGGCTTCTCGGGCTGCCGGTAGGAAAACTCAAGGTCCTCGCTCTCGCTGCCAAAGGCCTCGGACACATTGATGTGAATCTCGATGGCCGCCGGCTCCGGCTGGCCCAGCGGAGAAGCCAGGCCCCCACCAGAGGCCGGCTGAGTGGACACATCCGCCCGATCGATCACATACTGGGTGAACCTCTCCTGGGGCAGCTCCTGCCGTGCTGGCACCGACTCTGGCCGGGAGGTGACCACCTCCAGGGGCTGGGCAGGCGGCGGATAGAAGCCCTCGCTGTCGCGGAAATTCGTCGAGGCCACAATGGAGTCCACCGTGGAGTCGTAGACCTCGATCTGGATGTCGGAGATCTTGGACTCGGTGCGCTCGCCGCTAATGGGCAGGCGAGTGGTGCTGGTCTGCAGCTCGGGCACCTGGAACACGGTAGTGGACACCGAGCTGGCTTCAGCCGCTCCACCAGATCCTTGTCCTTGTCCCTGTCCCTGAGCCGGCATGGCCGTGCTCGAGATCGCCTCCTGCTGCTCTAGCAGAGCCGTGGGCGCCAGAATCTCCACCAGCTGGCCATTTCTCAGCTGGTTCTCAATGGAGGCCACATGCTGGTGGCTCCTGCTTCCCGGCTGAGGTTTCTTCAGCGGATGCACCACGCTAAAGGTCTTCTCACCCATGAAAATGGGTCCCAGGTAGCCGCTGTGGTGGCTGTGCGGCGCCTTGGTGGTGCTGCTAGTAGTGCTAGTGGTGCTAGTGGTGCTAGTGGTGGGTATTCGCTCCATCTCCGTCTCGAGGCTCCTGGGTGCCGTGGTGGCTGTAGTGGCCGGGAGAAAGTGCTGCTGCTGCAGCTGCTTCTTGCGGGTGAGCTTGAGGCCATCGTGTCCACTGTCCAGAGGCGGTGGAGCCGCCGTGTGCTCCAGATCGAGCAGCTGCATCGCCGGAAGCTGTCCAGCTGGGAGCTCTGTCTGGGCCTTCTGAGTGGTGGCTACTGTGGTGGCATTGCTGGTGGCATTGCTCGTGGCTGGCGGTGGATTAGAGGTGCTCCTGGCGGAGATGCTACTTGGTGAAGTGCTGCTCTGTGGAATGGCCATGCTTCCTTCAGTGGTGCTTCTCTCGGAGCTGCTTTCGATGCTGCTCCTCACGGGGAAACTCCTCTGAGTGCTTCCTTCAGAAGTGCCGATCTCTGGAGTTGTGATCCTCTGGCTGCTCCTTTCAGTGCTGCTCTCCGGGGAGGTGCCTATCCCTTCGGTGGTGGATGAGCTGCTCTCTAAAGTCTTACTCAAGCCGAGCTCTAATCCTGGGGAAGTGCTAGTGCTAGTGCTGGCGCTGGTGGTCCGTAATATTTTGCTATCCAGTGGAGCATCCACCAGGGTGGGCATATCACCCTCTACACCAATCTCCAGGTGGTGATGCTGGTGATGGCTACCCCCTGCGGCGGGGGGAGCTGCCCAGCCGCCGTTGGCCAGCAGGAACAGCAGCCAAAAGGCGTTCATGTTGGCTGCGCCACTTGCGAGATTAAAAAAAGGATATCTGGAGGATTTCCCAGTTAATATTTAGTTTTGGTTCTGCGGAGAGAGAAGAGAGAGAGAGCAGAGTCCTGGCTGCTGGCTAGTGGCTCCTGTTGCGTTTCGCTACTGTGTGTGTGGCCTTTGGCACTTAGTTGAATCCCTTGTGGTTGGCACTGGGCATCGGCTGCAGCATCACCGTCATCATCTGCCGCAGCAGCATCATCGCCGGCATCCTTGGAATCTCGAGCAGCTTGCGCCGCAGCTGTGGCAGGTTGCATTCATTTGTGCCGCACTGTTGCAGCCGCTGCTGCTGCTGTGGCAGCCATTCTGTGCTGTGTTCCTGCTTGTTTTTTTATTATTATCGGTTCACGCTTTAATGGCTCGTATCCTTGTGGGGGCAGCTGCTGCTCCTTCGGAATGAAATGGAAATTTAAAACAATGAAACTAATGAAGCAACTCGGGAGTGGCAAAAGTGTTATGAAAGGGGGGAATAAATGGGAAAATAAAGGGACAGCAAGGAACAAGAAAGGATAATACTCAAGGCTAAAATAAAATATACAAAAAATAGAGAGAGGCAAACAGAAAAATCCTGGCCTTGAACAGCAGATTTTATTGAACATTTCTCTAGGGTTTTTCTCCCTTTCCCTGGGTAGTTCTGCGCACGGCACAGATTGCACAGCTTCCGCGAGACTTGGGACTCGGAATCCAGGACTGCGAGGCCAGGACTCTCTATCTTCCAACCGCAAAACTGCCGCCCCTTTTCCGCTTTTATTTAATTTAGTCAACTTTCAAAACCCAAGCATGCAGCGGCCAGGACCCAGGATGAGGGATGAGCGCTCCTTTGAACCCTTCCTTGGCCGTGGCCAAAAAGCATGCAAATTAAATATAAAGCCTTGCAAAATGATTCGATTCCTGGCCCACTCTCGGTGTGTGTGTGGGTGTGTGTGGGAAAAAAGGTCGCTTTGGGCCCTAGAAAATGGGCCAAAAACCGCAGGGCCAGGCACAGGCACAGACAGAAGGGCTTTCAATTCGCTCATCATCATCGTGGTCATCGTAACCAGTCGCTTATCATCGCCCAGGCTCGCTCTCTTGACCCCTTCATTTGCCAACTATTGTTGGAAATAAAAAAACAAAATAAAACATCAAAGGCCGCAACGGAAAAAGGGAAAAGTTTGCGGCGGAGGGAAAACAAATACCAACGAATCGGCGCCACATAAAAGCGGAAGCACAATAAAGGCGCTGATAATGGCAGGCCGTAATGATATGGCAGGGAAATCTATAAATCCACAAATACACTGCCACAAAAAGCGGGGAAATAATAATAAATAATAAATCCAGGTATGGGTGTGTGAGGAATAGGGATACTTTTTTATTTGTCATAAAAGAGGTGTCGTGAAGTATACTAATTCAGGGTAAGCTTCTTTGCTACAATTTTAAAGTTCCTTAAAATTTTTATTTTTTAATGATGGCTTGTATAAAAAATACATATATTTTAAGGATGATTAAACCAAATTTAAACGTTAGATATGGTAAAAGGGTTTATTTAAGGGGGGGGTAAGGTTAATTCGGTGCAAAAATGCCCACTTTTCAAAAAAATGTGGCGAAACGGCTAAAGCTAGCTTAACGAATTAAATACCATATAATAACACAACATTTGAACAGTTTGTGATAAATTTTGTATTGAAAAATATTTAGAGGTAGAGGAGTTATAGGGAATCTCCCGAGTCGCCTCCAAAAAAGTTGGTTTGCGGTGTACATCCTAACTGTCCACAGAATCATCCGATCTACAAAAATTATACCTCATTCGTTAAAGGATAAGTGTCCCGAGGTATTCTCGAAGCGTTTTTATTTTTAAAATTTTTTCCCTATTTTTTATCAAAATTTGAAGTCAAAACCCCGATTTTTGACTAAAAAATTAAGTTAATTTGTTAAATAAAAAATATAAGAAAATTAAAAATTAAAAAAAGCTCGACGAGAATACCTGTAGAATTATCTAAAGAAGTTATGTTCCAAATTTCAAACCGATTGGTTCAGTATATTTTTAGTTATCGTGTACACCGATTTTCAAAATGTCATTTTTCAGGAGAGCGCTTTAAACTTTGTGATTCTCATGCATTGAACACCTACCGACCTTCGTTCAGCTCCGCATAACTTCGTCAATTTTACTATGATTGATGTAAAACTTGGACACAATATTCTTAAAATATTGAACTTTTAAAATAAAAAATAAAAAAAAATTTACGAAAAAAAAAATTAAATACCTTACCCCCCCCTTAATTGAAAATTCTTAAGCTTTTCTCAGACTAGACTTTATAACGAACTCTGTATTTATTTAAATTAAACAATTTGCTTATAATAGTTTAATTACATTTATTTATGCCTGAAAACGGCAATTTATGGTATACAATTATACTTTAAAAAACACTTTCTTGTGAGTTGAAGGTCTTTATATTAGTATTTAATTGAATTATTTCTTTTATCGGATTTTTGTATTTATATAGTTACACTCTTGTTTCTAAAGTAATGTTTCTTTCACTGGTAAATTTTTATTTTTATTTTTTCAAGAATACTATTCACATTATTTTACAATTAAAACTGGAAAAAATAAATTATAACACCCAACGAAATAAGAGATTTCTCAACATAAGCCATAAGATAAATTTACCAGGAAATAATTATAAGAAAAAATGGAATCAATAAAAATAAGAAATTCTAAGGAAATATGGTTAAAAAATTACTAAAAATAAACAAAAGCTATGAATAAATAAATTTAAATAAATCAGAAAACATTCATCGAGGACAGACAATTTATTCAAATAAAGTATTTACACTAATATATATAAATAATTAAATTATATTTTTCCTTAACTTATTTAATTATTTATGGTTCAACTTAAAAATTATATAAAATAAAAACAGCGTTTGTTTCTTTTATTTTCAGGCCATCTCCCATTTGTTTATGGTTTTTCATAGACACTCACCGGTGCTCCTGCGATTACAAAGCCGTTACCGAATCCTGATTCCGCCCCGCAAGGTAATCCAAGGGTCCTTGCAGAGCCCAAAACTTCGGCAAAACAAAAATATTTTTGTTTTTATTTTTGAAATTTTCCACTCACTTTGAACTGCGAGTGTCTGCGATTTCACCAATACAGTTTGTTTAATTTGTATTTATTTTGTATTTTGTATGTTCACTGCAAAAAAAAAGGTAGAGCTAAAAAAAAAACAGCATTGGTTCACCGATAGAAACACTGAGAGAAACCGGAAGCTGAGCTCGTTTAAAAGCCAAGAAACGCCCCGCAAAAAGGCGCCAAATGTTGGAACGGAAACGGGGCTAAAAGGATGCAGGATGTGGCGGGGCAAGGAATGGTAAGAGGGACGCTAAGGACTCACAACACTCCTCCTTATCCTATATCCTTTTTGGTATTTTGATTCGTTTCAGGCTGTGTTTCTTTTGACGGCCGCTGTTTCTACTGCTGCTGCTGCTGCCTCTGCCTTTACCGCTGCTGCGTCCTTTTGCTCAGAAAACCGCACGCAAACTGCGCAAAACTCGTAGCATCCTTTGGCTTAAAGGACTCGGCACATTAGAGATGAAGCAACATCGATGTTCACGACGATGTTCCGATTAATGTTTCCGATGTTTTCCAAGAAACCGCGAATAAACAACGACGTTTGGAAATTAAGGTAAATATTATTATTTAATTATCAACAAAAATTGGGAGAGGTTAATTAATTATTGTGTAAGTAAGCGAGTTTTATGTTTATGCTTATTTATCGAGGTTGTCACATCATCGATAGTCACCATAAAAAAAAAACGGCATGAATTCCCTTTAACGAACCCCTGGCCAGTGTTGGCAAGGACACGCGCCTGCCAGTGGAGAGTTTTGGCGGCTTGTAACCCGGCTAAAACTTTTCATGGAGAACAAGCGAAGTGCTTCACTGTGGCGCCACCAGTCGGTATTTCGTTGAACCTTAGATAAACAATAGCCTGGTTTCATACCGACAAAGCAAAGTACGTGCACCGCGAAAGTATGCAATTGAGAATTTTCTGGTCATATCATGCTGCATCTTTTGGGCTGAATTAATTGGCAACAAGCGCAAGTATCAATAAAAAGCATACTTTTACGCTGAATTTAGACTGGGAACAGTTTGCAATGCTGCATCTTTTGGGCTGAATTAATTAGCAACAAGCGCAAGTCATATCATGCTGCATCTTTTGGGCTGAATTAATTAGCAACAAGCGCAAGTATCAATAAAAAGCATACTTTTACGCTGAATTTAGACTGGGAACAGTTTGCAATGCAAACGAAATCCTTTAAAAAAATATGTAACTCGGCTAAAAATGCCTTAAATTCAATTCATTTTTAAAAGGTTAATAAATATGCGTATTCAATTTAAATTAAATATTTTAAAACAAATTTTGAAATGAATAAAAGCAACTAAAAACAGCTTTCCGAATTGAATTTCAAGCGTTATTGGATGAATTATGAACATTTGAAAATGAGGTCTTTTTCTGGCTGAATTTGAATATTAGTTTTTTGCTTCTTATTGTTTAAAAAATTCTTTAAAAATTACAGGTAAACATTTCAGTAAAACCGAGTAAGCAGTTTTGTTAAGCGGAGAAAAACGAACTCAGAACCGCTTTCCGAATTAAATTTCACGTTTTTTTGGATGAATTATGAACATTTGAAAATTAGTCAAAATGTCAAAATAAATCGATCCAATTTTGCAAAAATATGTAAAGTACCATCATTAAAATTCTCAAAAATTGATAAAAAATTACATTGAAAACGTAGTATGCAGTTTTGTTAAGCTTGGAAAAAGCAACTCAAAACAGCTTTCCGAATTGCATTTCATGCGTGTTTTGATGAATTATCCATAAATGCATGGCCAGGAATGCTCTCTCTCCCTAAGTCTTACCTCTCCCTCCCACTCGATCTACCTCTCCCTCACAGTTGAGCACAAGGGAGAGAGGTTGAGCTGAGGCAAAGCTACGAGCAGAGCTGAGAGCAGAGCTGAGAGCAGAGCTGAGAGCAGAGCTGATAAGCGAGCCCAGCTCGCGAACACACACCCACACACACCTGCTTGTATGAGAGCGCACACACTGAGAGCTGAGCTAAGCTTATCAGCTTCGCTCTCGCCGCTAGTGTGTATCAGTCGATCAAGTTCTCTCTCGCTCAAGCTTTCTCTGGCTACCTGATATACACGTACAGCTGCCGCCGCAGCTTCAGTCAGTGCGCGCTCTCCCTCGTGTTCGGTTTAACAATAGCGCGTGTATGTCACCTCATCTGGCAGACCCCTGGAAGAGTACCGTTTCGCTGGATAAGTACAAGTTCTTTTAGCAATTGTAAAAAGTTTCTCTAGGTCTTGCTTCTCCCCTGATGTCCGAGCTGTTCCTGACAAGATATTTTTATTATTGTTGGCTAGGCATTGATTTGTACATAGAGTCTCTTTTAGCTCCTGCAAATTCACATCAAACAAATTCGCTGTACTTGAAATATTTTCCCAGAATTAACTTTATTCACAGCTAACCCTTAGAATTTCCTGCTAAATTGCCTTTGGTTTGTTTTTTCAAAAATTTATTATTTTTTTTTTTGTTGCTTCTTTAAAATGCAACCAAAGCCGACGCTGACAAAGCCATAGGCGATACCAAGGCTTCCTAAGCTGAAGGGGATGCATCTTTTATGGGCTGATTTTAATTTTTCTCCACCTTTTTTTCAAAATTTAATTGCAGCAAGCCAGCCAGCAGTGGCTTTTCCGAGGGATCCTCGCCAGCCGCCGCCTCCAGCCGGCGGGTGAGCAACCTGTACAACGCCCGGCTGCAGTATCCGTATCCGGACTACTTTAATTACCAGGCGCCACAGAACATGATGGCGGCAGCGGCGGCGGAGCAGGGCGCCAGGGGCACTCGCATCCAGATCGTGCCCTGCATGTGTCCCATTAGTGTGCCCAGTGTCGTCTCGGCCGCTTCTCCTTCAGCAGCAGCAGCCACAGCGCCTCCGCTGGCCGCCATCACAGCTCCATCTTCGGAGTCACAGCCGGCGGCTCGGCACATCGAAAGGCACAGCCAGGAACTGGAAGCGGATGCCAATAGCGAGACGGAGAACGATTTAATTTTTTCGATTTTGTTTCAGTTAAGTTAAAGATTTTCGAAATTTAAATTTTTCCTCAAAAGTTTGACCTTTTTTTTAAATTTAATTACAGCAAACTGCCAGCACTGGCTCCTCCGAGGGATCCTCGCCAGCCGCCGGCTCCAGGCTGCTGCCAGCAGTGGCTCCTCCAAGGGATCCTCGCCAGCTGCCGGCTCTAGCCTGCTGCCAGCAGTGGCTGCTCCGAGGGATCCTCGCCAGCCACCGGCTCCAGCCTGCTGTCAGCAGTGGCTTCTCCGAAGGATCCGCGCCAGCAGGGATTTCGGCGGCGGAGCAGGGCTGCTGCAGGAGCAGGAGCAGGGCAGCGGCGGCGGCGGCGGAGCCAGGCTGCTGCAGGAGCAGGAGCAGGGCTGCAGGAGCAGGAGCAGGGCAGCGGCGGCGGAGCAGGGCTGCTGCAGGAGCAGGATCAGGGCAGCGGCGGCGGAGCAGGGCTGCTGCAGGAGCAGGAGCAGGGCAGCGGCGGCGGAGCAGGGCTGCTGCAGGAGCAGGAGCAGGGCAGCGGCGGCGGAGCAGGGCTGCTGCAGGAGCAGGAGCAGGGCAGCTGCGGCGGAGCAGGGCTGCTGCAGGAGCAGGAGCAGGGCAGCGGCGGCGGAGCAGGGCTGCTGCAGGAGCAGGGCAGCGGCGGCGGAGCAGGGCTGCTGCAGGAGCAGGAGCAGGGCAGTGGCGGCGGAGCAGGGCTGCTGCAGGAGCAGGAGCAGGGCAGCGGCGGCGGAGCAGGGCTGCTGCAGGAGGCGGAGCAGGGCAGCGGCGGCGGAGCAGGGCTGCTGCAGGAGCAGGAGCAGGGCAGCGGCGGCGGCGGAGCCGGGCTGCTGCAGGAGCAGGAGCAGGGCAGCGGCGGCGGCGGAGCCGGGCTGCTGCAGGAGCAGGAGCAGGGCAGCGGCGGCGGAGCAGGGCTGCTACAGGAGCAGGAGCAGGGCAGCGGCGGCGGAGCAGGGCTGCTGCAGGAGCAGGAGCAGGGCAGCGGCGGCGGAGCAGGGCTGCAGGGCAGCGGCGGCGGAGCAGGGCTGCAGGGCTGCGGCGGAGTAGGAGCAGGGCGCCGGCGGCTGCGGCGGCGGCTGCGGCGGCTGCTGCGGCGGCTGCTGCGGCGGAACAGGGCTCCAGTATCAAGCTGCCAGCAGTGGCTGCTTCGAGGGATCCTTACCAGCCCTACTGTAAATTATAAATTATACATATGCAATAATATTACTATTTTTTTACGATTTTTGTACAATTTTATTTATGAAAATTGAATAAATATGGTGGAAAGTATGCCCATTATACTGTATTTATTTATTTATTTATTGTATAGCTGGGTGGGCATCACGGATGGAACGTAAGATGAATTTTTCTCCCAATATTGCAATACATATATATAACTGCAGTGAAAATAGGAAAATTAAAAAATTAAAGCATACTTTTGGGGATTTCTTTTAAAAATGTGGCATCTTTTAGGCGGAAGTTCAGATTACAGTTTGACAAGCACTGGACCAAGTGAGATTCGATTTTTACAGTTTTAGAGCCACTGGACAGTTTCTGATCAGTGCTTGTCAAACTGTAAAAATAGAATCTCACTTGGACCAGTGCTTGTCAAACTGTAAAAGTTTGGAACTTCCATTCCGTTTCCCAAACTGGGGTAACAGGCGAACAGAAGCCAGCAGCAAGCAACTGAAAACTGGTATAAACTGTTATAAAAACTTTTGGTCAGAAATAATAATTGGTATAAACTGTTATATTTGATTTTATGCATTTATACCTTTTTTCTGCCGGCAACAACCACTTGATTGCAACAACAACCCCTTTACAACAACATCCCTAAAACAGCCCATCCAAATTTCTGAAATTTTCCATACAAATTGTCCGTTTCGCAAATTGGGGTAACAGGCGAACAGAAACCAGCAGCAAGCAACTGAAAACTGGTATAAACTGTTATAAAAAGTCCAAGTTTCAAACCATTTAGGAGCCGGCGCAAGTAAGCGGAGACTTAAACCTTTTGAATCCAAATTTAGTTGATATTTTACAACTGCACCTGGGCACACTGCAACTGATCGTCGTTAAATTCAAATTCAAATTTGGCAGTTAAATTCAAATTCAAATTTGGCAGTTAAAATATTTAAAAAAATTTAAAAAATTCTAAAAAAATGTAAAAAACTCTAAAAAATCTGAAAAAAAATTTAAAAATTCAGAAAAAAACTTTAAAAATTCAGAAAAATCTTAAAAAATTAGAAAAAAATTTAAAATTTTAAAAAAATTATAAAAAATTCGAAAAAAAATGTAAAAAAATCAGAAACAAATTAAAAAAATTTTGATTTTGCGTTTAAAACAGTTGGATTTTTACCCAAAACTATCCCAAGGCCCCCAAATAAATGCCGACTTCAACAAACCTTTCACATGGATTTCACGTTCTTTTATTGATTTATATTTGTGTGTTCCTTAAATTACATATGCATATTTAAATTGTATTTATAAATATTTTAATTATTTACGCCTGCTGCAGGGTTTCACATAGCCCGGAGCCAAAATCCGATCCGATCACCGTCCTCTACTGCCATCCGGTTGAGGTCTGTCCTGCCAGCTGCTCGCTCCTCCAGCTTCATCTCTGCCGATCCTAAAATTATAGAAATTATTGGTAGGTATTTAATTAAATTAAATTAAGTACGCAGTTTTGTTAGGCTTATAAAAACTAACTCAGAACAGCTTTCCAAATTAAGTTTCATGCATTTTTGGCTGAGTAATGGGATTTTGAAAAATTAGTTTTCTGCCAATTAGTGTTTAAAAAATTACTTAAAATTATATTAAAGTATTTAAACAAAACTAAGTAAGCAGTTTTGTTATCATATACTTAATTATTATTTGTAAAGGTAAGTGAAACTAAGGCTGTTCTGAGTAAGTTGTGTTCGATCGAAAGATTCTTCAAGGGAGTTCAGACTTCGACTTTCGTTGAATTTAGCTTCGACTCACCTGTTCTGCCTGCCAAATCTTTTTCAATTCATTTGATCATGCAACACGCACGATAATTCGCATAAATAACGAATGCCAGTTGTCCAGATTATGTAAGCATTTCTCCTCTTTCTGCTGGCTCTTTCTTCTGTGGAATTGTCTACGCGGTGGAATTCGAGGCGAGTCCCCTCGGGCGACACTCCCAAAATGTCTTGGTCTTCGGATTTCAGCTGGACTTGGTCTTGGTCTTTTCGTTTGATGCGTTGCACTTTAAATTTAACCCTGACTTCGACTTTGGAACGGACATCTGTCAATTGGGTATTGCGGCTTTGTTTCTTGGATACACTGCAAAGTACAGAAACATGTATTAAATTAATATTATTTTGCATATTTATAGGTGAGAGTAGATGAAAGGATGCTTGATTTTTAAAGCTGTGAAATTCTTTTAATAATTCTTTAAATAGTATTTATTTAAATATACCTTTAAATAATACTTTTAATAATTCTTTTAATATTTCTTTTTAATTATTTTCGCTCAGTGCTCTTAACAAAGTCTGTGACAGAGGCTCTACATTTTTGGCTCTTATTCGCACTTTTCACAAATTAATAATGCGCATACCTGGACACCTGGACAACCTAATTGAATCCGGAGAGGAAGAGCCTTGCCTGCCCATTGGCCACACTCCAATTGCTGACCTCAAAGAGATCCATTTGCCAGGTTTGTTTGTTTTTGTGGCCCTTTTATGGAGTTCGGCATTCGGCGGAACGCTTTCTTTGCCGTGAATCGAATGGAATCAGTACGCTCCGAGGCCGTTCGCATTTATCGAGCGTAATGAGTGCGCAGACGAAGACGCAGTCATCTTGGATTGAGACCCATTAACACACAAATCCACAGCGTGGAGTTGAAGCTGTTGCTGAAAAGCGATTGAGACCTGAAATGCGTGAAACGTCTGACCTTTGGCCTTTGGTTATCTGAAAAAAATAAGAATAAAATTAAATAAATGTGTAACTCGAAAATATATAAATCGAAGGCTTTCTAGTTTATATTCAAGTCAAGACATTAGACTTAATTTCTATTTCATTGAGCCTGTAATTTAGGTAATTTAAATAAATTCTGTAATATTTTCTGTACCCAATAAACACCATAAGCGTCTCTTGCATTTCGGGGTTAATGTGGCATCAAACTGCAAAACTGCAAACTGAAATCAGCTATCTTGGCCGCATCTTAACGGCTTATTTTAATTTTGTGTGCCGTTTGGCCTATGGTAATGCAATCCATCCGCTGCTGGCGGCTGCAAACAACGGTTGGAAATTGGCAGCTGACAGTTGGCCATTTGGACGCCCATGGCCATGACTGCGCCTGGCGTCGACTTAAATGCTCAGCCTTTCCGACGACGACGACGACGTGCCCGGCATGCCAACAGCGATCCTGGTGCCAATCTCGAACCCAGTCCAAATCCGCTTGGCTGAGAGACTGTTAGAGCCAATCAATAGCAGAAACTGAACCTGTAAATAAGCCAAACTCCTGCAGGGGATTATGGCCAAGACGGGAGGCACTGGAGGCTCTGGAGGAGAGCCAAACTCCAGCTAGCTGTAATTGAAGCCTGAGTCGGGAGATTCCCGAAGTAAGTTAATTATTAAATATTTTACAAAGAACCAAATTATGTCTCTTGATAAAATTCCAAGAAATTGCCAAGAGAATAATAACTTGCCCTTCGTAAAAAAGTATGCCCAACTTGCAGCACAAAAATCCCTAAACAATCGCATCTCGTTTATCCAAAATGAAATCTCTTGATCTCCAATTTCAAACCGAAATCTCAGCCTAGACTTATGCAATCGAGAGATGCTTGTCATCGCTGGGTCCTCATCGGAATTGTAAAATACCCGGGGAAGATACTACATCCCCTGCTTAGGTTTTATGATGGTTTTATGTATGAGAAATATTTCTTGCGGGATTGATAACACACAGACAAAAACTTTCGCATTTTTTCGGGTGTTAACTGATTCACAAGCCGGGTTTTTGGGAAGGCGTTGGCCAGTGGTCAACCAGGGAGGGCGTGGCAGATTGAATCATCAATGGCCGCGAAAGCATTTCACTTTCGCTTCTTGTCATCGCACAATTTCTTTTCATGCCTGCGTTTTTGGTTTCTGTTTTTGTTTTTGTTTGTTGTCTTTTTTTCTGGTTATTTCTTTAGTTTTTTCCCTGTTTTTTTTCTGTATTTTTCTCCTACCAAAAATTTCACTTTCTTTTGAGTCATCCTCATTGGACCTGCGACTTCTTTATGACTCCATTTACGTGGGTGACAACGATTGCAGCATCGCCTCAGTCCGTCCACAGCCTCCGTAGACAATGGCTTGGCTCTGTTCCGATGTTCCGAGTTTCATCATCATCCATCGCAACAATTAATGTGCATTATTGTCGGGGGACAGCCAGCGGAGCGGAGCCCGCGTTTATTTATTTGTTACAGTAGAAATTGTTAAGCAAATATTTTTCTTTTTCGGCCAAAAAAAAAAAAAAAAAAAAAACCTGTAGCGAGAAATTCGAGAAAATTGTGTTGTGCTGCGTATTTGCACAGTTGTTGTTTTCGTTTTCATTTCATTTCATACCTTGTGTCATGAGGGGGGGGTGAAATGTGCAGCAACTTTCCTTCATCCGCTCCTCGATTCTGGCTAAGGCCGCTCGGCTTCTCAGTCACGTTCCTTGGCCTGCCCTCAATTGCTCAGAGTTCATTTGCCGCAATTGTTGGTGGCCCAGCACTGGAAAAAAAAATATATAGAAATTTTATAGGTAGAGTAATTAATATATATTTATTTTTAGTACAATTCCCTTAACTTTTTTGATTTTCTTGAGTTATTAACATTTTTTCTAGGCGCATATTTCTTTCTGTTTTCATATTTCTGGCCTGTTAAACGGCCAACTTGGCCTGAACCAAGTTGGGCCGAGGTTTTGTGTGCACAGAAATCATAATTCGCTAATAAATTTCAATTTCCCTGTCCGCGTCGCGTTTGTGCGGAGTGAAAGTTACCCCGAATCCTCTTCAAAAAAAAATATATATATATATTCCCCAGTGTCTTCTGTGCGTCCGCTGACCTCTTTCGAGTAGCCCTAAAAGTCAAACATTCCGCCAAAAATAAGAAAACAAAAAATACCTGAGCGTAATTGAAATGAAGAGGAGAATATAAGGGGTTTCGTGAAAGAAAACACACGAACATTATAAATTATAATGCTAAAAAATATATATACAAATATAAAATATTATAAAATACATTTTTGGTAATCAAAGGGGGATAATCCAACTTAATTTCACAAACTCGTTTTGTTTATTTACATCTTCAGACCAAACGAAAGCCGAAGAATGCCAGGTGACGCACTAAGCCAACTAATTACTCTTTGGAAAACACCTCCAAACCCCCCACCACTTCCGCTATTTGTGGACTTGGTTTAACTACAAATTTCACTCTCGTTTTCTGCATAGAAATGACTACAACCTGGGCTTAAAAAGAGTTGTGTTGTGGCTCATAAAACTTGTTTCTTGTTCGCAGAGGAGGCGAGATACGAATAATTTCACTTTTATTAAGTAATTTCAGAGAGTGACACTTGTCAATGGCAAGAGGCAAGAGGCAAGAGGCATGAGGCAAGGGGAGGCAAAAGATACTTAGATACTAAGATACAGTCGGTGGAAAGCCAAAGCAAAAATTCAGGGAATGTGCCGAATCGGTTTTTTAAGCCCTTCTTCTTTCTGTTTCTCTCATTCGGAGATGCATGTGGGCTGATAGCACAAAAGTGACAGCGAGAACGAAACTTTCTTGGCTGCACATTGGGCACAAACAGCGTTCAATCCAGCTTTGGCCTCGGCGATATGATAGCCATCGGCAGGCAGCATAAATGAGCCAATTTCAGGCTAGACTAGATTTCTGTGTCTCATTTGGCTGGCTTGTCAACAGAACTGCCTTTATCCCCGCTCGCATCTTGCGGCGGGTCACATCAAAGTCAACCTCGGATCTTGATTTCTGAGCACTTTCTCCTCCCAGCGAGCAATCTGGAGGGTTCTCTTTTTGAGTTTCAGAGGGTAAAGGCAATCGTGATGATATATTTTTAATTACTTTGATAAATTCTTTGTCTGAAATAATCTTGAAAGGACCTCAACTCCTTCACCAGCTACACTCCTATCTTCTTTTCCCCTCTTTAAAAATATGCAATATTATTTTTTAATATTTTTCCCCTACTTAAAATTGTGTAATATTATTTTCTAATAGGTTTCTCCTACTTAAAAATATCTAATATTATTTTTTAATACTTTTCTCCTTCTTAAAAATATATTATATTATTTATTAATAATTTTCCCCTCTCTAAAAATGTTTCATATTATTTTTTAATAATTTTCCCCTCTTTAAAAATATATAAGGCTATTTTTTTATATTTTTTCTCTACTTAAAAATATGTAATATTAATCTTTTAATATTTTTCCCCTCTTTAAAAATATGTAATATTATTTTTAAATACTTTTCCCCTTCTAAAAAATATTATTTTTTAATATTTTCATCTGTGTCTTACACCTCGCAGTGTCATAAGTCACAAGGTTGTCTTGGCAACATTTTTTGTTGTTTGTTTGTTTGTTTTCCCTGTTGACTGCAGTCTTTGCATTTAGCTTTTGGCCAATTTTCACAGCCACTCCGCTAGTGAGGGGTTCTCACGCATTTGTCAAGGGGTTTTTCTTCGGTGTATATCTATTTTTTGTTTCTGTATTGTATCTGTAGCCTCTCTTTTAATGAGTGGGTCATCAACGCTGACAGTTTTTGGACGGCACTGTAAATTATATTAACTGCATTTGGCAGGGACATTGCACAATTTTCAGTCTCCCCGAATTCAAAATTGCATTTTTATTGGTTTAAAATAATTATTATTGTTGTATATATATTTTATATTATTTTTAAGAGGCTCTTTTCATACTCTATGAGTCATGGTCTAATCAAAAGACTTGAGACACAAACTTGTTTGGTAATATTTTGCAGAAATAGAGGGGGGATGAGAAATAGTAACCAAGCTGTGAATCACTGCTTTTAGTTACAACATCTGGCTTAAGCCTTAAATGAATATTTTTTCATAAATATAAAAACTCACATTTTAGCTTAGCTTTACCTTTCCCAAGCTGGTGCTAACTTTCCCCCAAATATTTGCCTGAAAGGGCAAACCAACTTCGTTTTCCTCAACGTCAAGTTGTTGGTTTTTTATTGATTTTTCGAGAGATAAGCGTTGCAGCACTGCTGCTGCTATTTGCCGCCATTGTGCCTGCCTGCTTTTCCCATTCCCAGACACGTTTCTTTCGTTTTTGGCCAATTGACACATCCCGATTGTCAGCTGGCTGACCTTGTGGCACATCTCGGCGAATGGCTTTCACGTTGCAGCAGGTAGTGGCAGCTGCTGCTGCTGCTGCTGCTGCGTTGCGATGCGGAAATGGCAAATGCAAGCTCTGGATTTTTAGGCTGCACTCAGTGCACTTTCAGGCCAATCGTCACACGGCTCGATTCGCTGACAACAATCGCAATCCTCGCGGCTAATCATAATTTCAGTCAATTTAGCAACAAACAGCGACAAGTGCTTCTTTTTCGTTTGCCATTCAGCCCGATTCTGTGCAGTGGTAACTTTCTCCCGACCTCGTTTAGTTCCAATTCCAATTCCAATTCCTAAAATAAATTATTGACACAGAAATTGCCGTGGCGTTGTTTTCGTTTTCTGTTTTTGGTCAAAGATGCACACAAAAAAAAATAATAAAACGGCTAATATCTACAAAACAATAAAAAAATATTTCAAATAGAGATGAAAATGTGAATAAGAGCCTTTTTTTAAAGTCTTTTCAAAGGCGTTAATTTTTTTACACCTTTTTCTGAACAAACCACAAACTTAATAAAGGAAAAATGTGAAAAACACTTTTTCCCAACTTCAACCATTTTATTTTCCAGTGTAACTTTGATTTTTGGGCGTCTATTGACCCGCTGAATCATCAGCAGTCGAAGCAGCCGAGACACTGAAATTTCCGTATTTCTTTTTTTGTTTTAGAAACTTTTCGGCAAAGCCATAATCATAAGTAGAGGAGGAGGCGAGTCCCAAGAAATTTATTTGCATAATTCTCGCAGAGAAACAGTCGGCTCCGGAATGCGTTAATTGGCCGGGCAGGCAGGCAGGCAGCCTACTGAGCAAACAGTTAGCCATGTTTGGGGTCCGGCTTTCGTTCTTTGGTCTCTAATAATTCACCTGCCGCGCCGCTGATGGGCACCGCTTAGCAGCCTAACGAGGCGTCACTGCCTCGAACTCCAACTACTACTGCTGCTGCTATGGCAGCAAAGGGCACTTGACACCTGTCCGGATCGAAAGTGAAGCTCATCGGAGATGGCGAGGGAGAGGGAGAGGAGGAGGAGACCCACATAGCCATTGAATGGGCTGTGCGGCCATAAAAGAATCTCGAGAATTTCTAAATGAAATTGATACGCCGAAAGTTGTGAAAAAAAGGAGAAATAATAATGTTGTTAATGGGTTTATACATATAGGTATAAAGTATGGGCAAAAAAATATATTAAAGAGATGTCAAGTCTAAAGAAATTATTAAACTTAAAGTGTCTTTGTTAAAATATTATAGAAAAATATAATAAAAATGTAGAGGTTGCTGCAGTTTCCTTATATTTTAAAATAATCTAATACTTAGTTGAGGTTTTATGTATATTATTTTCTGAATTTAAATATAATAAAATTTTATATAACTTTTATATTAAATATTTTATATTTGATCATATATTATTTTATATATTTCTTAAGCATTCCACAATTTTGGCAATTTCCCAAGTTCTGAAGGCATTCCATCTCTTGGCTGGCTTTCAGCACTCTTTAACTCTTTCTTCATTAAATTATCATTATCAAAATGAAAGTTGGAGCGCTGGTGGCTGGTGCGTGCGATGGGCAATGGGCACGTAACTGCTGGGCCATCAATAAAATTGTCAAATTGGCAAGGCGCCCGGGAGGAGGAGCAGAGGCATTCGTTTTCGTGGTCAGAATACACAAATGCCAAAAGTTTGAACTCTTATTGAGTGTGTGGGGGAGTGAAGAAGCAATTAAATGCAAATTTCTCCGGTCATTTGCCCCTCGTTCTCCCGAACTCTCTCACTATCTCTCTCTCTCTTTCTCTCTCTTTCTCTATGTGGAATCGAAAGACTCAGGCAACGAACTCGCGGCGGCATGGAATGATTAGGGCCAGACCCGACAGGGGTCGCGCGGATCAGACAGCGGTGTGTGCTAATGCCACAAATGATTGTTTTCCAAGGCAGATGAAACATGTCATCTCGATGGCATTTTTTTCTTCTTCAGCCTTTCAGCCTCTGCTCCAAATGAGCTGCTGCGGTTGCTCCATTAAGGTGACACAATCCACAACGCTGGCTCTGTCCAGAGCGACCTGATCTAGTTGTTAGTAGCAGAGCCCCAACGGAGGCTCAAAACTGATATTACACTAAGAGGTTTATTTTTAATAATAAATCAATTTAATAATAGATTTTATAAATAATTTTTAGATATGTATTTCTTGTTTTAGGTATATAAATTGATAAATAAAATATGTAATAAATTAAAATGAAAATTCTAATATAAAAAACACGACATACTTGTCTTTTCTGTATTATTTTTTTGTTTTTCAACGACTAAAAAATGATTCTTGGCATTTATTACTTTTTGTAAATTTTCTAAGATTTTTAAAAGGTGACTTTTAAAACCT